AAATATTTACAAAAATGTGAGGGGTGTACTCACTTTATTGAAATATATATATATATATATATATATATATATATATATATATATATATATATTTTAAAATAAAGTCCCTATTAGGAGTCCAATGCAGTAAAGAGGATATACTCAAAGACCTTCAGCAAGCATAAGTGCTTCTCACACTTTAAGTGTTTGTTTTAAGCAGCCTGGTCATGTTTTTGTTTTGTTTTTTTACTTTAAGGTTTTTTTTACCCCCTTATTCCCCCCCTGTAGCTTATCGATTAATACTCCACTTGCCTATATTTCTAATTTTTTATCTGGGCTTTATTTGGGCTCAGCTCAATGGCTGAGAGTGATTGGCTGGTGGATATCTCAGGAGAGCTAACGGAAGCCTACAAGTATGAGCTTCCAGCTCTCTATCAGAGAACATGACAATGGTGCTTGGAGAGTTCAGTGAGGAAGCCTTGGAAAAGCTATGGACTAAATGCTGTGGATAGGCTGAAAGCATCAGCTGACTAGAAAGCAGTAAGTATTGCAGTTCACATGTTAATCTCCCATGTTAAAATCAGTATAGGGCCTATTGATATTGGGGTACTGTCACATAGTGGTGGTCTTAACACAATATGGCCATATGGTGTAACTGAATCCCCATATTTGTTTGATATGTGATTTTAAGTACCCTTTTAAAATTAAAAACTATTTTTTGTGTGTGCACTGTTCCATAACATGTATTTGTTAAAGTGAACTTGTCACAACAGGACTTTTTAGATTATAAAGATACACTAGAGGGATTTTTATTTAAAGGGACACTATAGTCACCAAAACAGCTTAATTAAGCAATTTTGTGTATAGGTCATACTTCTGAAGTCTAACTTCTCAATTCTCTGCCATTTAGGAGTTAAATCACTTTTGTTTCTATCCATGCAGCCTTAGCCACACCTTTCCTGATTGTGACTGTGAACCTGAATGAAAACAAATGGTTTCATTTTCAATCAGATGTTAACTACCATCTCTGTAAATTGAACTTCCCACACAGGAGGCTCATGTGAGGTCTAGCAAGTTATAGCCAATGCAGGAGATAAATTCTAAATTAAACAGACTGTAAAATACAGTTAGTGTAAACATTAAATCTCACTTTACAGTGAGTGTTTAGGAAGGCTGTGGGCAGGGAAGTGTGACTAGGGCTCCTTAAACAAAGTGATTTATCTCCTAAATGACAGAGAATTGAGCAGGGATCTATACATCAAAACTGCTTCATTAAGCTAAAGTTGTTTTTGGTGACTATAACATCCTTTTAATTTTCAAACGCGTTTTAAAATTTCTGGTTGCAAATTTATCAAACATATGATATTAAAAATAATTTCTTTCTCTGCTGTTAGGTTTTAAAAATAGTACATTGCTTTTGCTGTGATATTTAGAAACAGAGAAGCAATCTTACAGAATAATGGGATCTATCTTAAGGGTACACACTTAGTAATCACATGCAGAATAACTAGAAAAGCATTGGAGTAAATGAGTATCAGTAGGGCAAAGAAAAAAAAATGTTTTCCTTCAACACTCATTTGTTTCTCCCTCATACTTTAGGCTGTCCTATCACAAATAGAGCAGTTGATGCAATTTTATACAACCCAAATAGTGCCCAAGTGAAAACAAAGCATTATGCGGTTATAAGTATTGCAGATGCATGTTTTAGGTTTGCCTAGAACACCCTTTAATCCCTCTTAAGATTCAATTGCAATTATTCCAGTGAAGGGTAAAAATCCTTATTTTCAGAGACTTCACTTTTATTCTGCATCTAATGCTTCAATTTTCTCAGAAATGCAACTTGAATGCACAGCTGTATGGTAGCCTTCATGGTTATTCCGCACATGTGCGCATCACACATTGACTTTTATGGAAAAAAATGCTATGCATGTGTAGTAGTGAATGTATAATCCTATGTACACAATAGAAGCAGTGCATACAAGCATAGTGCCACAGGCAAAGTTTTGCAGGCTGCTTCCCTGAATTATATGTACAATAAAAGCACCATAGCAATCTGTTGGCGTTTAATAGATGATGGTGTACAGATGCACCCTGCCACTGTATCCTTGCACACAGCCACATATAACTGACGTGATGCGCAAACTTAGCTGCATCTCTACAAATGTCACTTTTCTTCATCTGACAACAAACTAGTAGGTTTTGCTTTCACTTTTGCCATTTGCATCCGTCATACTTGTACACCTGGCATGCCTAACTCCTCCTGTCCAATAATTATCTACCTATGACGACTGTGGTTCATGAAAATGCAGTACACACACTACCTGAAAAAAGGTGTGTATAAAATCCACCCCAAAATGCCAAGTTTACTCCAAGCACTATGGCCACTTCATTAAAATGGTTATGGTGCCTGAGATTCTCGGATGCCAGATGTGTAATTCCACCTACAGCAGTGTTACATGGATATCATCAGCCAGCCTGGAACTCTATTCTAATGTCAACACTCAATGTCGACCTCCACAGCTTCCATCTTCTACAGCTCTGCAGAAGCCGGATAACCATCACTGGCCCTTAGGGAGCATTTGAGGCCAGCGAAGGTGCAGGTAAGTGGGCATATGGTTTGCCCCATTACTGGGGAACCAAGCCAGGGCACTCCTGGCATCACCACTACAGCAGGCTTTAGTGGTTAAGATGCTTTGAGTAACCCTTTAAATACTATTTTCACTGACTAAACACAAAGAAATAGAAGGGAAAAAAAAGAAACTAGTTGATGGTAAAGACTTAGAAATGGGAGAGTAGTACACACTAATTACTTTCAGCTTTATCACTAGATTCCGTTGCATTCGTAGTCACTAAAAATCACATTTCAAAGTCATATAAACCAAGTTTGTCTTATGTATGTATGGGATAAAAGGCAAAGAAAGAAAAAGTGAAAATGGAATATCAATTTATTCTAAAGCTGCTGTGCCTTTTTAAAGTAAATGTTCATACAAGTTTACAGCCAGCAGGTATTCATTCCACTTCATAAAAATTGCCACATCAGTGAGCACATCCAATGACATAAGACAGACACAGTTTGTAGAAACAAGTACTTTCCAACAAGTATATCAAACTAGATCACTACGTGTGCTGTTGCTGTTTCTACACTCACATGAATTCCCAACACAGAAGATCCAATGAACACTGAATTAATAAGATATTTGGGTGTTTGTTTGTTTTTTTATTATTGTAATCTTAAAAGGGGGCCCACCAGGTTAGTATTGACTCCAATATTTAATATGTTCAATAGATCAAAAATAAAATAGAAGAATATTGTGAACATGTTGGGGAGGAGCAGGAGCAAGAATTTAAACACAGTACAGTCATTGGCTGGTGAACTCTCTCTGTAGAGTTTATATCCACTCAGTTCAATTGGGTAAAAATTAGGTTATGGATAAAGTAGTATCATTTTAGGGACCAGATACACACAGGTCCTCAAATGTGGATTTATTTATAGCTTTCAATTCTAACATGCTATCGCTCTGCCAAATCAAATAATTAACACCAATAAAGAAATTGTCAAACAGGGGAATAGCCACATACATGCAATTTATTACAATAATCTCAAAATACAAATACAACAAGCAGTAGATTGAATTATCAAGCAAAAGGGTAAAAAATTTTACTTTTCATAGTAAGCAAAAAATTCTTTGAAAACGATTATATGAGTAGATTTTTGGCTTTTTCAATATATTATTAAAAAGCACACACTGATGTCCAAATTAGAGCATATTTCTACATGTTATATAAGCCATTGCTGAACAGCAGGGGAGATGTGAAAATGTATTTTTGTTGTTGCTCATTTGAATTCAAACTGCATTGACATCCCTTGCTCTTTAAATATTGATAGGTCATTTGGTATTGCATCCAAGATCCTTGTTGTTTTCTGTCATTTGTCTTCAGTATGGGATCTTGCCAATCTCTGATTTTAATGTTTATGTAGAAGAGAGATTATAAATGTTTTAACAAGCTGGAAGGAAAATTTCACTGCTTGTGTCAGGGCAGAAGACAGGCATTTTATTTTCTGGAAAACTCAAATGTGCGAAAACCTAGATACATCATGTTATCCTTATTACCAGTATATGCTTCCCACCTGTACACTACTGGTATTACTAAATGAAAGAATATTGCCCTAGTTTGAAATATTTGATAATTTAAAGAAACTTCAAGCATCATAACTATTATATTTTGTGGTGGTTATAGTGCCAGAAATGACCAGCTCCTTCATAGGAGCAGTCCCGAGTTAAACCATATAGTTGACTTTTTACCTGCCTGTTGTGAGAAGCTCCCCACCAGAAGCTTTAAATTATGTTTATACATTGTTCTAGCAGTTTATCAAAAAAATGTTGATAAAGGAGATCAGAAAAGATCTCCCACAGGAGGTCCTTCTGCTCTTCACCAATATCAACCACAGAACATGAGTTGCGGTTGCTACCGAAACTTCTAGTGCAGGCTGGGAAGTATAGGAAGTGGTCCCAAGCAGAGCAAATCACTTATCAGTAGAGGAGGAGTATGGGAAGGTAAGAGATCAGGTGGAGCTCTCCGATATGATCACAGCGGGGGAGCAAGGCCAAAGTATGTGACTACAGGTTGCCTTAAAAGTTTTTTTTCTTCCAATCTATACATTTGCTAGCAATTCTGATAGCCCAATGTAGAGACAGAATTGTATGCTCTTTTAAGAGCATAAGTCATTGTGGGAATGACAGGTACCCAATAAGAGAGAATATTTAATAAAATGGATTATATATTTTTTCCCCAAACATTTTGATAAATACAACAGAAACTAAATTAGACAATCAAAAGTAACAAAATATGATAAACCACATAGGTATTGATTTTGCATGTCATACATTTCACATTCTAAAAATTAAAATCAGCTTTTGAAAATCAGTACATAACATTTCATTCTGTGCACGACAGTCTTAAAAAAATTTTTATCGCCGCAGACACATCATTGAGTAAACTTTGACCCTGTACCACAGTCAGCAGACACATTCCAGCCAATCAGCAGCAGACCCTCCCTCCCAGGCCCTCCCACCTCCTGGACAGCATCCATTTTACATTCATTGTGAAGCTGCATTCTTAGTGAGCTGTCCAGGAGGTGGGAGGGTCTGGGAGGGAGGGTCTGCTGCTGATTAGCTGGAATGTGTCAGCTGACTGTGAGGTACAGGGTCAAAGTTTACTCAATGATGAGTCTGCGGCGGGCGAACCGTTCGGGACATCACTAGATGTAAGCAGTGTGTTGTTCATGCAATTAGTCCTTAGTTATTTTTTTTCCAACAAGGTTTTCTCCTGAATTTAAAATTTACCAATTCCACTCTGCTGACCTAACTAACTGGCTGCAATTTTTTTCCTGAATGTGCAATGTAAATATTTAAAAAAGGTTTCTCCATCTTCAACTTAGTATAATTGATAGAGAGGTTTTAGATTTTACAGTGGAAATTGGTTTTAATGATCTTAAAATACACAAGCCACGCAAAGATTAAATAGTAGCATGTTGTAGATCACAAAACCTATAACTTATATGTTTTGCTAGCCAAAGTGTTATCAAATAAGCAGATAAAACCTCAATTACCAATGAAGGTTTATTGGTACAATCGGGCACCATAATAATTTCATCAGAAAACATTATGTTATGGTGTGAGGAGGTTCTTGGTTTTCCTTAAGGGGTTAAAGAGATAAACGGTTTAAACCAAAGGACTTAAATCCCACCCCTGTTAGTTCTTCCCACAAACACCAATTGCAGTCTAAGCTTGAAACAGGAAGCATGGCACTGAGAGCTGCTGATAACATGAGAAAGTCAGATGACACAAATAAAGGGACAGTCCAAACACCTAATGCACTTTAATAACACAAAGAAAAAAAAAATCCCTGCTATAGTATTGTATTTATGTATATCTTCATATGACTACTATAGATCCTCAATAAGACATGAAATGTAGAGCAGAACACAGTAAATTATGACGTGCAAACTTGGATAGTAATATATGTATAATACATAATGCACTCACATGTTTCAGAGCCCCGAATGGCTCCAATAAAATAGCGTGAAGTGGTACAATCTCCACTATAGGGTAACATTCAGATGTAGTCCGCAGGATTATGTAAAACAAATACAAACATAGTGCTCCCTGTCGAAGACAACCACGTGGTAAGCAAAAGAATACTATTTACATATTTCCAATGAATCAGTCCTCAAGCTTTAGTGGTCAATATCCCCACTGTGGATATGTTAAATGGAGAGTATTCACAGATGAAAGGGAATCCAGGAGCAGGGTAAAAAAGCAGATTTTACTTCCTGAAGTTGCTTATACGTGAAGTGTGTGTCCTATTTTAAAAAAATAAAAATATTTTACAAAGTGAAATTTCAATAGTTCTGTTGCTTCCTGGTTTATATATCTCGGTGAAACCAAACTCAAAATCCTGGATATTGCTCAAAGCACGTGCCTTGCAAAGACTGCTCATTGAGCTGCATTGGGAAGTTTGTAATTAGACAGCCACAGAAACACTTTCTGAGCTAGGGCTTACAACTTTTACAAGAAATTTGTATATACCTCTAGAGGGAAAAAAATAAATGCAAAATTAAATACATGCAAGTTTTTATTAAGGGTATATCTACTAAACATTTTATTTATTTAAAAAAAAAAAATTTGTATTTGGGCAGTCCCTTAGTAAATATGTGGTATGTTTATTTTTAAATTGTCTGATTTTAAAGCAGTTCTATCAAGCCCTAGTTTAAGAATATAATAAAACTCAAAATCTAAACCTCACTACCTATTGGTTAGCTTGTTTAGATTTTCAAAACAAGAACTTCTCTTTCCTGTATAAATGTAGGGACTATTTCAACTTTGTTAAATTTTATAGCTATCATTTCCTTTTTGCATTTTTAGAATGCTGCCCTTGCTGTGTAACTCAAGTGACTGCCGAGGTAATCCTAAAGTCTGCCAACATTAAATTTACAAAAAGTGCTAAAAATAATCACATAAAAATGCAGCTTTTTTTTGAATTGCCCTTCTTTTGCAGAATCTGAGGTGACCTCTCAACCTCCTCTAGTTCAAAGTGCCATCAATCGAATAGCTGAAAATAGTTCTAAATCTATGCTGAAGGATTTAAGGAATCTGTAGCAGTAATGGCAGATTATGCTATACAGATTTATAACGAAGCAAACCGATCCTCACACACACTCAATGAAGAATAAGCACTTGCACAAGGAATCCCATGTAAGCAGGCAGCAGCAGATAAGTACCCTCATACAAGGGTACATTGTTTCATAAAAAAACTACGCAAGAAATAGACATCTACAGGTTACGCACTAAAGAGAGAAATCAAGCTAAAATTTCAAATTTACGTTTAAAAGTAGCTGAATTGGAAAAATTCTCTAAGTGAGCAAGTCTTTCAGTTTGACTACTCTGGCCTTAAATTGTCCTATTTATAGTTAAATCCCCTCTCATAATATTGTAAAGCGCTATGGAATCTGTTGGCGCTATATAAATGGCAATAATAAATAAATAAAAATAAATTGGTAATTTGCTTTAAATTCTCATTTTAGTGAAAAGCCCTGCTACATAGGAGTAGAAACCCAATTTTTTTTTATGTTATAATCAGATGTGACCAAAAAAAAAAAAAAAAGGCGAATGTGTCTGGTTGAAAAGATTCAGAACAACATGAGCTAAATCAGAAAATAATGACCCAAATATTACAGAAATTCTATAAGCATATGAAAGTCTGTTAAATGTAATAAAAATGAAGCCTAAAAACAGGAACCAGAGATGTATCCCGCCTTCACTACACGTCATCCATGTAATATTTCCAATTGGCAAAAAAAAAAAACTCAAGCTATATACAGGCTCTTTTGTACCATTAATAAAAAGGACACTATTCGTACACATAGAGGCTGTCACTAGAAACCTTCATAAATGTGTGTTATTCAGTTCTAAACTTTGGCCAAGACACAGTGTTCAGTGTGAACTTGTACAAACTAAAATGTTACCCACAAGCAGAGACAGACTTCACATTAACTTAACACGACCATGGCCAGATAGCAAACTTAATAGGAAAGTTTACAGACCGCATAAAAATTACTCACGTCCTGCAGAATAGACCTCTTACAGACATTCCATGGTTCCAAAAAAAAAAATTTTTAAAAAAAATGCAACTTCAACAAGGAGTTACATATTGTACAATTCAGTGGCTTTCATAACTTTAAAAGATATATACAGTCACAGAAAGAAAAAAAAAGAATTCTATGATTTTTGTTTTTTTACCGGACATAATCATAGCAGGTCTTAACGTTAGGTAAATACAACCTCAGATGAACAACACGTGACATTTTACACCGTGACATGAACTAACAAAAATAATGCCAAAAAGGAGAAGCCATGTGTGAAAAACTAAGTATATAGCATAAGATTCAATAGCTTGTATAACAAACTTGCAGCCCACAATGTATTCATTTGTGGCCCACCTGCCCTGGGGCCACTTTGTGTTTTGGCTGCAACCAGCCGCAAGACAGAAAAGATATTTCCTGTCTGATTCTGGTCTTCCTTCCCAGGCCAGCCACTCTTCCTTCCCTCCAGCTCGCAGTACCAGAGGAGCGTCTGGCCTGCTTAAGCAGAGAAAAGCAGGGCTGGAACTGGAGGACGGGCGGCTCATCTTAAGGTAGGGGAAAAGGGTCTTGGGGGACCTTCCTGTGTAGTGTGCTAAATTAGGGATGGGGGGCAGTCTATTAATTTGAGGAAGGGAGTGGGCAGTGTATTTATTTTAGAAGGGGGCACTGTATTAATTTGGGGGAGGGAGCAGTGTGTTAAATTGGGGGGAGGGAAGTAGTACATTGGGGCAGTGTATTAGAGTGCTGTGAGGAGGGGTACTGCATTCAATTAGAGTAGAGGGAGGAGGGGAAGAACACACTAAAAGGACTTCAAAACCAACAAGATAATGTAATTTGTTTTTTAGCTGTGCAACAGCATACATTCACCATTTCAGTCCCATTACCAAACTTTTCTTAATATGTCAAGGTAGTTGGGCTGAAACTTTGGTTATACGCAAATGCACGTCTCCTTCAAATCAATTTGTTCTTTTGTTTACTTTGAAGCCCTATGAGCGTGAGGATGCCCAGTGTCACTTAGGCAACTTTTTTTTATTGTGTACTTTCTAAATAAACTTACTTTTTTATGAAAACTGAAGTTCGTGGTTTTTTTCAGCCCACATAAACTTACCGTATATACTCGTGTAAATTTTGTCAGCTTTTACCTAGGTAAGATCCTGGAACATAATCCTGTATCTAATGCAGAGTGTGTGTGTGTTTGTATGAGTGTATATAATGCAGAGTGTGTGTGCATTACATACACACACACACTGTGTGTATATAATGCAGTGTGGGTGGGTGGGTGTGTGTGTGTGTGTGTAGTGTGTGTGTAGTGTGTGTGTAGTGTGTGTGTAGTGTGTGTGTGTAGTGTGTGTGTGTGTGTGTAGTATGTGTGTGTAGTATGTGTGTGTAGTGTGTGTGTGTAGTGTGTGTGTGTAGTGTGTGTGAACTGGGTGGGGGGGAGGGCATTTTTTTTTTTTAATGTTATTAATATTTTAATTTTTTTATTTTAATATTTTTTATTAGTTAATATTTATTTTATCTTAATCCCTGGTGGTCCAGTGGCATGGGCTGTGCAGGGAGGGAGCCGGCAGCAAGCTATTACATACCTTGTAGCAGCTCCGGTAAGCTCCCTTCACCTCCATTCAGCTCCCAGTGTAAGTCTTGCGGTCTGCGTGCCGCGCGGAACGTTGCCATGGTAACCCATGGTAACGCTCTGACGGCCGCAGGTGTCGCGAGATTTACACTGGGAGCTGCACGGAGCTGACCGGAGCTGCTACAAAAGGTAAGAGCTTGCTCCGGCCCCCAACAGGACCGCCGGGCTTGTAATGAGCCCGGCGGTCCTGGTCTGTATTATGGCAATGTAAGTTACTGACTAGAGTATAAGCAGACTGGGGGTTGTTCAGCACGAAAAATGTGCTGAAAAACTGGACTTATACTCGAGTATATACGGTAAACCTTGTTTATTTGGCCCATGTTAGCCTTTGAGTTTGACATGCTTGTTGTACCAATGTTTCTTCAGTTCATTGAGCTTTGCTGGCATTTGTTTACGCACAGCTCTCTTAAAGTC